ATATATAATATGTACATATTAACTAAGTTGATTATTTTTCAAATTTTACTTAGAGGCGGAGTAAGTCAACAAAGCCTGTGGGGAAAGACAGAGTATCCTGTGATGCGACTTCAGTAAATCAGAATCAGGAATCTATTTCTAGGGGCCAAGAAATTCTCAGATCTATCGTCTCTCGGAGCTCTGATGTTAACAGAGTAAATGTAAATAGTCCATCTACTTCATTGCCCTCTGTTCTTGGTCAGTTTGTGGATGGCATGTCTTTGGGAGGGCAAGGTTCCCAGGAACAAGTAGATGCTGGCGGCATGATCTCTCATGTCCTCCAGAGCCCTGTGTTTAATAATTTATTGGCCAATGTGGCTGGGCAGACTGGGTTAGGTTCCCCTGCTGATCTTAGAAGCATGATGGAGCAATGCACCCAGAGTCCAGCAATGAGGAGTGCCCTGAATAACATTGTACAGCAAGTGGAAGGGGAAGGTCAAGATCATGGGAGCATGTTACTGGGGTCTGGAAGTAGTGAAGGTGGAATTGACTTTTCAAGAATGATTCAACAAATGATGCCCATGGTATCACAAGCTCTTGGCAGGGTGTCATCTCGCTCTCCGCCTGTTACTGTCATGGGATCTGAACATCAGCCTCAAAGTAATAACGTGACCCACAACGTTGAGAGGATGCAAGATCGAAATGTTCAGGTGCATGCTTGTTATCTTAATGTCAAGCTATTTTTCTAAGTCCTTTTAATGTTTTTTAGATGTACTCAATGCATGATATGCCTTATATCTTGTAGTGACTGAAAAAAATGTGTGATGGTGGTTTTATTTGTTCTGGAGTTTCAAAAAATCTGTTTGATGTATTGTTTCTACTAAACGGGATGTGGACTAGAAATTGCTACTGCTGTGTTGAAACATGGTAAAGACTTAGAAGAGAAGTAGGTATAAAAATAATAGTCAATCTTCTTTTGCTTGTAGCAGGAAATTTTTAAATGCTAAAATTTGCTGACATTAATTAGACAGTTAGTGTCAAAAATTAGCCAGATTTCTGAAACAAAGCCAAGGGATTGGTGATACGTCTAGTTCAAGTGGCATGTTTTATTATACTTAACCCCTGATATGTATGATTGAGGAACCAAGTTGTGGATATAGAAATTCCTGCTCTGCTTATCATAATGATTCGAAGCCCTTGCTTTCATTTGTTTACAACTTTTGCCATCTTGCATTTTCATATCTAAAATGAAATACCACCTCACCTCAGAATGTAAACAAACTGAACATGAATGTATTGACCCTTGTTGGTGATTGGCATAAGCTTGGGAAGGTTTTTCATTATCTAGTAGTTGAGCACAAATTGGATATGAATTTAAGCTGAAGCTGTTAATTATCACCAAATAATTTCGATAATTCTAACCAGAGCAGAGAGGGGAAGAGATTGGGGACGCTGTTCAGCAAAGATGGTGGACAAGAATGGAGGACGGGGGTGAGTATTTATTTTTGAACAATAGGGAAGAGCGAAGGATAAAGAATGGATGGCAGAAATGGAAGGGGGTTTAGGATAGGAACTTAAGCTACATATATATATATACACGATTTTTGATGAATTTCATTCAGTTGATCATGAATGATTATCTTTAGTTGGTGCTTCAGTAAATGAAAGTGTTAAGATATACTTATCTGATGTACTGTATACATTTTGTTCCTGTTTTTGATTAATGATTTTGCTAGTATGATGTTTTCTGGATTATATTTCATTCTGGAGCTTGTAAGGGATGACCATGCTGACTCGAGTAAACAGTCATACAAATCCATATTATGGATCTCAGTACTACGGAACTCTACGTGCAGCTTAAATTGTTTCCAAGGATGGAACTGATATATATTTATTTTCTTTTGCTTATTGGATTCTTCAGATTGATCTTCGTGAAGCACGGGAAAGAATTGAACAATGTGATTCTTCTGGAAATATTTTTCGTGCCATGCTTGAAGGTGCAGGCAATCTGTATGGTGAAGAGACGAGTTACGAAGACCTTCAAGAACTTGGAGATGATGCGGAGCTTGGTAATGTATGTATTCTGTTTTTTATTAGACTTAATGCTAATCAAACCAAGTTTGACTACTCGAATCTTAATAGATCAATGAATCATTCTGTAGATATTATAATTACTGTGGATGATAAAGTATTTGATTTGATTGTGACTATTATAAACAAATTATTCTGATAACCTCTATCCACTTAACTGATTTTATTAAGTAGTCAGTGAAGAATTGGGATTCAAGGAAGAGATACTGTATATGCCATGGAGATGGGTAAAATTGTAACATGCTGTTTAAATTTTGAGTCTTAAGACTTCAAAGTGCTGTTTACTCATTGATATAGTTGTCAATATGGAAAAGTTTCATTTAAATGTGAGATTAACCTTGTAGTTGTTACAACTAGCCTTTGGGAATTTAAGATGAGAGATTGCATTGGAATAATATCTGCTGAATCCACAAAATGAGGTCTAGTTGGTCCAGCTATCAATGATCATTGATGGTTTGAATTTTATTTACAACCCTGTCGTCAATCATGTTTTGCAGGAATATTTGGAGATGTTGCAACGTCATATTCGTGAGAGACTGCGTAAACAATCCAATTCGTCGGAGAAGTCCTGAATCGACCAGGTGGAGCCTCCAATGATCTGGGTTGATAAATGTAGAAAGGCATGCGGCTCCATTTTGGGTATTAATGGCAGTGCAGTCCACTATATTGTTCATGGAAATTTTATAGACTGATTGATCGTGTACTGAAAAGTCTCAGCTGGTGGCGTCCATGATTTTGAAGTCATCTTGAAACCACCAAGGTGACTGATGTTGTCACTTCTCACAACACATTGCCATTATTGTCGTCACTTTTGACACAACATTATGTTGTCATATATCCTATACCCCGTGCTTGGGAAATGCTTCCCTGTTTCATGCATTTTGTGTTCTCTCTTTTAATGTTTGTATTCTATGACTTTTGTTGATTGTATTACCTTTTCTCCTTCTTTGTTTGCTTTGACACGGTGATAAGATTGTTCTTTTATTATTATCATCTAGCATGCTCCCTTGTCATTGCTGCTGCGATGGTGGTTGATGTGGTCAGTCACCGTTGGTGCTGTCATTGGCAGGTTGATTACCGTCACCTTCACGTTGGAGACTCGTGTCTCCCACTTCTTAACATCAAGAATTTTTAAAAGATGGTGAGGGAGTCGGCCTACCTCGACGTCTCCTTTGTCTCTTTTCTCGATCAGCACGGGGAGCAAACGAAGGAGGTTTTGGATTAGTTGGTGCCTCTCGCCGACTGGGTGTACACCGGGGATAGCATCGACTGATTCACCTGTCAACTCTCGTGGACGAGGAATCCCAACTATTTGGTGAGATGATTGAGTTTAGATTATCAAGCTCGTGAGAGAGTAACGCGGTTGGGTCTGATGTAAGAATTCGTGGTTTGAATGGACCTATTAGAATGGTTAATACTATTAAGAACAGTAGCCCTGTTGTGAATTATTTTTTTTTAACCTGATACCTGCATTTGGTTCTCCACATGTATTTCAATCGCACATCATAGTGACGTATTGAATGATCTAATTTTTGATAGGTCTGATTTGATTGAAAAACACCAAAACAGATACATTCTATTAATTCTTTTACCAGTAAGCGGAAGACATCAATTTTAGAGTGTCCCGAGCATATAAACAATAAATAAAAGAAGAGAATAGACTCTACAAGGGTCTTCATCACTCTGAAATAATTTAGAACTACTTTCTTATAGTATAATTATCTCTAAATTATTGTCACGAATCAAAATGTCAACAACAACAACAAATGTAATAAGAAAAATGCATGCAAACATTGCATTTATTCATAAATAGCACCATTCAATCGATTCTCGGGGATCCCTCGAGTATTTATTTTTCATATCACCACAAATACAAGAAGCTGATTGGATTACACAATTGAAGCTAATTGAATAATTATTCTAGAAAAGAGATGACAATATGGTAAAAACAAAAATACAAATAGCATTTCCAATCGCACGATGAGTAGTTCATCATCGATACCGAGCAATATGCTTAATCGATCCAAGAGACCCCTAACACCTTAGCCATGAAGCTATAGCGATCAGCAGCTTCATCGATCTGAGCAAATAGAAACTTGTTAGATTATGATACACAAGTGGAAGAACTGTGGTAGAGTACAATGACGAACCAATTTCTGAGTAGGTCGCCCAGCTCCATGTCCTGCCTTTCGGTCAATTCGGGCAATTATCGGGTTTGTCTGTGGACTGTTCTCGACACCGTTGCACAGTATATACTGCATAGTCTGTCCATGACAAGACATACTTCAATCATCAGAAAATAACATAATTTATTAAAACACACTGAAGAACATTGTTATCGCTGCTGCCACAATGCAAGAGCTAAGGAGCATTTACTTGTAGTTTCTTTTGCTTTGTCAACACAGTCATGCTTTGGCAATTCGTAATGGCAGGTGATATTGTCACATATTGTTCACTAAAAGCTATATTATATGCACTATTGCGGTTATAGTAGAAGCTATCTGGTTCACATGACATTTGACATGTATACCAAAGAAGCTGATAATAGTTCTAATGACCAACTTCAAAGTTCAAAGCACAATATAGTTGTTTTAACTGCTCTCCTACATATTTAGAGTGTACAACTGGACAAGTATATAAGATAGGGAACATTTAATGAAAAAAAAGAAAAACACTGAAACATAATAAGGATCAACAAGATGCAGAACTACCAACTACTACTAAATAGAGTAACTTACTGCTAGTAATTTCAACGAGTGCAAAGGCACAACACGATCATCATGATCAGCTGTCAGAAGCATGGTTGGTGGGTACTGACAAGATTTGCCAGAGCCTTTTTCCCATGGTCTTTTTATGTTATGCAGTGGAGAGTATCTGAAGACAAACATGTACATGTGTTGGAATGCAATGAATGAACCTGTATATATATCTTTCTGTGATTGACTGAATCAAAATGCTAATTGGACAGATGCCATTAACAACATCCAACAAAAAAATAAATAGAACATCCCAAGAAAATGTTAGTTGTGAATCCTTTTCCTCTTTCAAACATCAAAAAGTCACAAAAGTCGTGACAACAGCGTCTGAAAAGGCATCCAGCACAAGACTCAGTTGTTAATCCTACAGTAGAATGGCAAAACTAGTCTGTACATGTTATTGAAGAAATTGTTCCAATCAGTATGTAATGATAAGGAAAATAAATAATTTCTAGAAAAGAAAGTAACAGATAACATCAGAGACCAAGTTTAAAAGAAAATAGAAAACTCAAAACATAAGTTTAGGCAATACGTCAAACTCCAATAACAATATGGCCTCAATTCTTTGCTTGTAACCTCATAACAAACCTATACAATCAATTCTTTCTTACTGGTATACTAGGACAGAATGAGCCATCTACCTATGCTGGCAGGCATGTACCACACTAACAAAGCATCAGCATCGAGCATGGTGGAATCCAACACACCAATGGCTGATGCATTTTAAAAACGTTCAGAGCATGTTAGTATAACAACACACCAATGCATGATACCCTTTTGGAAAAGAGGCACACTCGATCCCTCATAGACCCTTGCTCCAACCTAATTTTATATTACAAGAAAGATATTGATGCCTTCCTTAAGTAAAGTAACAGAGGCGCTTCTACTGCAGCAAATATTCTCTCTCGTTGGGTCAATAAATGATAACATCTACAGAAAAGATAATGAGTTTTACTGATTAATTTGAAACAAATATAACAGTGACAATATAGCTAGGTGAAAAAGCTTTTAGAAGGAATATAGGCCACAGTTTGTGACGGCAAAATATTTCAACTATAAGAACAGTATCAGAATAAGGCATTTTAGACAATTTACAAATGTTGAAGAGGGTCAGGGATGAGAATGACTTGCAATAGACAACTCTCATGCTATTTCACTTTGTTTTCCTTTTATAAAACTGAAGTTCAAAGTTCAAACAACAAAATCATCCGAAAAAGAATGATCGCAGAACAGCATTAATTTAATTAACGAACAAGATATAGGGTTAGCCATGACATGATACACTGTATAATATGAGCAAAGCACTATCCAGAATGGCAATCCTTGGTTTATAGGGCTATTGATATCCAACTGATTTCAGGGCATATCTACATTTTAAGAAAATCGTAGTGAAAAGCGTAACAGTATAAAGCGGCAACAGTATAAAGCATGCACTACATTTTAAGAAAATTGTAGTGAAAAGATCTCTCTTCAACTGCTGGGCATTTTAAACAAAATGAAGAAGACATGGTGCAAAGAACACAACATTCAGGATCTTGTTTACTTTTGACTCATATCAGGTATCACAGAGAAAAAGACAATATAGCATAGTGAGCAGCAATCAGAAAGTAGGTCTTATAAACAAATGGACACTCAACTTTAATAAAAGAAAATGGCACCAATTTCTAATCTTATACATATAGCATTATGATATTTTATTAACAGTAACCTGAGAATCGAAAACCAAATACACCAAGTTAAATAATATAAAGCCATTTTCACTATTTCATTGGCCAAAGTTTCATGCACATACAAAAGGATCAACACTGGCAATCACTGAAGTGGTTATCAAGTGCTTGTTAAGAGGTCAAAGCATGCAGGAGATGGCCTTATTGAGCTTTAAGTACAAGCCATCATTAAGGTGATGCATGCAGTAACAACTATAGGTATGCCATATGCACTACACAATTTATGGCAGGCATTAATAGAAATATTAAATAAATACAAAGAAAAGAGATAACTGCATATACTATTATTTATAGTTGTATAGCATGTCACGAACTATACATGTTCATAGGTGATTAAATTCTATGAACTTTGATAATTGTGATGTAGGAACTAGGAAGTAATTGTCAGATAATAACACATGTTATACATTAAAGCTGTTAAAACCTCATAAGCAACTAGAGACTCTGGCTCAACCAACGTACCATAAATATTTAACTAAAACCAATAATCAACACAATTATGATGTTGTGGCACAAGTCGAATGTCAAAATTCAAATTGTATAAATGAAGGAATGTTGTTTCATACTTAATAAGCCAATGAAACTCTTCCTCATTGTCTGAGCAACCATAATCGGAGGTCCAAGCATGACCTGAATAACAAGTATATATGAATCAGCAGAGTGACAAGGAAAATGCATAACCACCAAGAAGTTGAAAAAATTGGATTAACCAATGGTGAACTTGTGGAATCGAAGCATGTCCATAACGCCAACATGAGCAAGCACACACCCAAAAAGATCTGGACGCTGCCATTACAATTTTATGGTTAATACTTATAAAAGATAATAAACAAATACAGAAAGCTCCAAGAGTACTCGAATAGTTTTGACATGAAGCTCACAGATACAAGCACAAAGGTCTTTAACTACTTTTACCTGATTCATGCAAGCTGCAACGAGAAGTCCACCATTGCTACTTCCCTCGATACATAGATGTTTAGGGTTGGTATAATTATTTGAAACGAGAAATTCAGCAGCAGCAATAAAGTCATGAAAACAATTTTGTTTCTTAGAAAGTGATCCTGCTTTATGCCATTCTTCCCCATATTCTCCACCACCACGAATATTGGCTAAGCAGAACACAAAACCTAAGTTCCTTGCCAAGACAACACGACTCACATGAAATGAAGGTTTAAGGCTAATGTTGAAGCCCCCATAGCCATACAGTAAAGTTGGATTTGATCCATCAAGTTTAAGATTCTTCTTTGACACAATGAACATGGGTAACCTGGTAGCATCCTTGCTGGAAACAAAAACCTGAGAAACAAAATAAATTAAGGGAAAGAAAAATCATAACTTGATGATCCAACTATTTAAATTGATCTCTTCATATGCATGGATCATCAATAACAGAAAGGATTATAATAGCTAAAATGTAACTTTTTTATATAAGTCATTTGGAGAACATATTTCTTTAAAGTATCATATAACGAAACCTATCCAAAAAAATTAAAAAAAACATTGTCTTAACAAAACTTAACATGAAACAATTAACAAGTCTTAATTTTTGCCTCTAAAAATAGCTCTAAATTAGGTAGACTGGAAGAATTTTAGTGTAAATTTACCTGTTTAACATCAAATTCTGTTCGATCAAAGCCAGGGATAGAAATTTCTTGAAATATTTTCATCTCTTGGACTTCGGTTGCTAAGTTGCACCTGTAGATGATTCCTGGAGAAAGGAAGCTAGTGAAGCTTATAAAGATCTCGCTATTTTCACGTCTAGCAGAAATCCCAGAGACACTACCAACATCTAATGGTAAACAATGTAGCAAATCTCCTGTACTCATGTCCCTTATCTGCAAAATATGCTTGACATCACGAAGATAGCACACTAAGATCTGGTTGCCATTGACAGCATAAGCTGATTCCAGTACATCCCTTTCATGCTCTGGCAGAATGTCAGTCCACAAGTCTGGCTCCTTGAGGTCTACCCTTACTAACTTACATCTTGGAGCTCCTTTGTTCGTCAAAAAGGTAAACTCACTATCATCATTTGCCACAGCACTATAGCGTGCTTCAAAGTTATCCACAAGCTTGACAAAAGGAAGCATTTCATTGCTTCCTCTAAAACCTTCAAGCCCGTTAGGCAAAGAGCACAGATCACAGTAGTACAACTTGTTGACAGGATCACAACCTTCCGTAATGTGTAAAAGAGCAAACTGCAGATAATAACAAGCATTGACAGCTCAAAGAAACTGATTTGACAAAATAAAATTTCATAAATTATTCATGCTAAAGCAATCAAATTCTTGACCTCACAGCATGAAGACATGTCAAAATTAGCCATCACTATACATGCTGATCAGGGTGAAATCAACAGTTTACATGAGCTTGATGCCAAATTAGGGTGATGGCACTACACCCTCGGTGCACGCAACCCCTCATGTTAATATGTTACCAACATGAACTTGAACTTAAATACATGAAAACAATAACAATAACATATGATGGACATTCCGATGGGCAGTTCATATATGTGTTTCGAGTTAACACATCACACATTTATAATCATATTATACATACAAATGGCGTAGATCACATAGGTGTTAGTCAATAACATTGTGAAGTAGGAATCAGAAATGTGGTGATGAATGGATATAAAACTAGAGCAAGGACTATAATATTGTATGCAACAAATTGTACAACAGCTGAGAGTTGCATAGTAGTTAATTGAAGAGAATCAAGAGTATTTTCTACATTGCTAAACAATATAGAACATGACAATGAGGCAGCATCTTACCTTTCCATCATTAGTGACGGAGATTCCAAAGATATACTTTGGATACTCCGGGTCTCTCCAACATAATATGTCCTCTGACTGATGCGTGCCTAAAAAATGATAGTAAAGCTCATGATTCAGATTGATTTTTGTCTCTGTCCCCGCATCCAATTCAACCCCTTCTCTATGCATTAACAGCAATAAACACAAAATACAATTGACAGAGCAATTACAACTAAAGATTTTTTTTCTTCAATAAATGAAAGTAACAATTAGAATAAGGAATCTGCTTTACTTACTCAGGAGGTGGATACCGGCCATAAAAGAATCCTTTTCCATCAAGGGTCCAGCTAACTGATGAGAACTTCACCTATAGTTGGAAAAGAAAACATCGGGAAAATTGGAGAACTAACCACAAAATGCATGGAGTATAAAAGGACTCTCACCCATGATATTGTGTCAGATTCTGGTGTCTTATCATCAATCCTCATCACCTTGATTGTAACCCAATCACTTCCACTCTTGCTAAGCCCATAAGCCAAATACCGGCCATCCTTGCTGACAGAAGCCATCGAAAGCGCAACAGTTCCATCCTCGCTAAGTATGTTAGGATCCAACAGAACCTCTGCCTCTCCATCCAAATCTTTCTGCAGCAAAGCAAAGGGTTCATAATGAAATCAGTGTCAGAAACGGAACCATTCAAATCTAAACGATTCTACAATAAATTAGGACATTCAGATTTACTTTGGTAATCTTATTCCAAATTAAAAAGAAAAAAAATCAAAAACAAAGTAGCAAGCATTTCTAGGGAAATAAAGATCTAAAATGGCAAATTTCTACAAGAAGTTCATATCATTTTACATGTGCCTTAACGGATAATTGATGCATAAACAAATCAAAACAACCTATCAATCACACATAAGTCAACAAACAAAGATCATGAACTTATTTAGCCTAGTTTTACGAATCCTTACCCAGCCAAAGAAACAAAATGGAAAATCCATTAGCACCACCATCATGATCTAGACATAAGATAAAGGAAACAACCTGAACGTAGATAACACTTTGCGCCTGCAGACCGGTGTTATGATAGTAGAAGTACTTCCCGCCTCGCTTGAACGGCGTGCTATACCGGGGGTGATCAAACAACGCCGTGATCTGGCGCCGCAGCCTCTCCCTCTCCTCGCACCTCGCCAGCACCGAGTCGGTCAACGCAGCCTGCCTCTCCACGAACTCCTTCACCTCCTCCGCATCCGGATCCTCCAACCTGGGTACCCCAAAAGAAACACAATCTTCCTCACAACGCACCGAACTCGAAAAGATTCGATCTGATTGGGTTTTTGAGCAAGACGGGGCCCGGGAATCACCATCTGTAGGGGTCGGCCACGCGGACGCCATGGTAATCGTCGACGACCGACTCGTCCCGCCGCGCGGGTGGGTAGGGGAGGGGCGGGAGGGACTCCGACGCCGCGGCTGAGAGGGAGCCCATCGTGTCGATGTCGGCAGCAGCTCTTGAATTGGCTTCGACGACAAAGAGATCAGCGCACGTGAGGAACGCGGGACGAGCCCAGCGAAAGCCCCTATATATATATATATATATATATATATATATATATATCGAATCATTTTTTTTAATTTTAAAGATTTTTTATAAAAGTAAGTGATGAAGATAATTTTAGTATTTTGTTATTTCTATTTTTGAGTATAAGTCTCACGACGATCTTGAATCAATATGGATCTCATATCATTTCAACATATGAATATATACTTCTTTGCAATATATCGAATGATAAAAAAGAAGATGATAATAAAAAGAAAGAGAAAGAATAAAATATAGAGAACGAGGGAACTCTTCTACTCATCATGAGCCCTCGTGAATCATAACAATTAAAAGAGAGAAAAATAAAATTAAAGAACCAATTGTATCATCCACTTTTAAGCGATTTGCATCTGATCGATAAATATTGATTGAACCTTATCAAATTAATATTTTAAAAAATAATAAATAAGATTTAAAACCATCAACCGATGGTTCAAATTAGTGTAATGTTTGTCAATATTCTAAGGTTATAACAACTACGGTTGAACCGAAGTGACAACTTCAGTCAAAAGCTGATCTAAACTGATTTATTTTCGACTATAAGAAGATCTCTTCCTTGACAAGAGTTCAGTTCATGGCTCCCTTTTAAGAATACTAATGCGGTGTTGCTTTCTCTTGAAGTTTTCTTGGTCTTATATTATATCTATTTTGGATTTAAACTAGTATGGTCGAACCATCTAGAAGATATGAAAGGCATAACTTAGTCAAAAGAACGATCTAAACTTCATGGATTCGGTAATTAATTGTTCTATTCCTTGACTACAAGTCATTACCATTACATCACCTCCACAGATACTATTTATTAATATCTGAGTTGGATTGGCTTTGACCTTTACCGAGTCAGATGCCATACAAGCTGAGGTTGCACTAGTCAATCTTGATAGCTAAGTTTTGGGTTTTTGCGTTCACTGGTTTGCATTTATCTTCATGTTGGCACTAACATTTAGAATATAGCTTGTCTTTGTTAATTTGATCCAAATGCTTTATTGTGTTTAATTGTTCCATGAAATTAAAATTTCGATTCAGTTCTTATGATTATGTTTATGCTATGAACGATCTAATCTGGAAGCTCTCACAAGAAGTAAATGTTAACATTTTTGGCACTTGTTTCATATCTTTTGTGATGATTGTAAATATCTGGTAACCCGAATTGATTCATGGCCTCAAAGTAATTTATATTTAAATCATATTCTTATGACTCGGCTGATTCATGACCTCGAAATAATTCCATTTAAAAGCTTAAGCTTACACTATGATTCATATTCTTATAATTAACCTTATACTATGAACCATAAGATCTTGTCCGGAAGCTCTCACAAGCAGCAAACAATTATACATTTGTTTCTCCTTTGTCATTCTCGTATTATATTGATGATTGGAAAATATGGAGTGTTTTTGTCCCTCCACCAACTCGTACAGTATCACTTCTTCAATGTATATGATACATTCCATATCTATAAAGGATGTATTATAATGCTTCCCGATGGTCACATACATCAGATGACAGGTAGCTGTCATTGCTTTTACATCTGACGGTAAAAAAAGGGGAGGAGGAAAGCGGTAGAATCAATGGAAAGCTCGTAGTAAATGGCGTCAGCGGAATCAAACGGGTGGTGAAGACATTAATATGGGAATCTCCGTATGACTGTCGCGACGTGAAGACGAGCATTTACGTGCTTAAATGCAGCTTTACTGTTCAAATGCTTTGATGTTTGCTTTTCTCTCTCATTTACGTACGTTCAGTTAATCCTCTTGAACCACTTGTTCTCCTTCCTTGGTCATCTGTTCCTCTTGCAGGAGATTAAACCTAATGAAGAGATCCATTCCCATGCATGCAGTGTGATTAGCAACAGTGCTTTTCTCGTGCACAGATTAATTGGCTGGCATGAAATCCCACCTTGTTATGTTTCGTGATGGTAGTGCTATAGTGATCATTGTATCAAGCCACAAAGCTAAGAGAAATAGTTAGGGTTATACCTCTTCTCCTAGACCTGCAGCTTTCACGTTGCCTTAACTTGTGACCTGTAAATATTCGTACAATAACAAAGAGAGAAGTTGTGATCAAGCTCGGAGAAGAAGAAGACGAGAATGAGCAGTTTACTGTTAAAAGTAGGCAGCCTTGACTGGGTGGGATGAAAGAGTACTAAGATATTGGCACGGCTCAATCAGATAACAAGGTCTTAGGGCTTTGCATTGCCCAAAAATGGTGCACTCTGAGTGAGCCGGGCCAACATCATAGTAACTATTTCATGGTGATCTCGTCCTCCTCCATTTGCAACTGCAGACACTGCTTTCTTCTCCTGGCGAGAGGTGCGGAAGAAAGAAAAGAAGGAAGACGACTGCAAAATTGAGCAGCTTCTCTCTTCTGACGAGAAGATGGGAAGCTTGAGAGATGAGAGAGAGGTGGTGGAGGAATGGAATGTCTTGGAATTTAAGGAGGTCGAAGGGTGGGGATGGCATTTAAGGCTCCCGACAACCAAAGGAGATAGACAGGCTGCAGCATTAATAGTAAACCTCCCTCTCGATATTATTCTCACCCTCCTCTCTCTCTCTCTCTCTCTCTCTCTCTCTCTCTCTCTTCTCAGAAGCATTGTTTACATCTATGTGACTTTTCTTAATTAATAAGATGACATTTTTCTCGTGACGAGAAACGAGCTTTGGTTTCCTTCTCTTACTTTTCATTTATATACGTGCATCCAAATGGTACACGAAGGTATCACTCCAGCAACAGCTTTTGAGATTTAGCTTCTTCAGACATTAACTGATGTCGTCTGACCATTGAAGGCTACATCATGTGAAGAGAGAGAGAGAGAGAGAGAGAGAGGGGGGGGG